AGGAAGGAAGGAAGGAAGGAAGGAAGGAAGGAAGGAAGGAAGGAAGGAGAGAGATTATAATGCGAGTGAGGGAAGGTCTCAGGGAAGTCCTGCCTTAGCACTTGGCCCCCACAGATGCCCCCAACACAAGTGACTTTGAGCTGACCACACCCACCATGGCCATGCCCCCTGCCCTCTGAGATCAAACACAACCCTGATGTGGCTTTCAATGAATTGAGTTTGATATCCCTGCCCTAGATCCTACAGCCTAGGATTTTGTAGGTTGGTTATTTTCAAAGTATGTTTAAAAAGTACAATACAGAGAAACGTAAGATAAAAATTCAGAAAGATGGTTCATATATTACACTGTTTCAAAAGACGGGCTCTTCTGGGCATTCTCTGTTTGAAAAAGGTATTGATTTATGCTGATTGTGCAAATAAAAGAATATGGCATTTATTTTTAGTCTAGGCCAGGAACCTTCTTTACATCTTTGCCAGAAATGAAAACATCAACCACATCCATTTCTTCTGTAATATTTTCATTTCTTTGATGTGCAAAAATGACAGACCAAAAAAGTGGTGCACATTTCCCCACTGGGAAAAATATTGTATAAACAGCAGTGAACAAAATAAGGAAAGGAAAGAAATAGAAACCCCCAGAGAGCCAAATGATTTTTCCGATAAGCATACGGCACCATCCAGAAACACTTCACTTCCTCTTCAGAGCCAGATTTGCATGATTAATGTAAATGTTATGCTATCACTAATGTGATAAGCGCTTTCTGAGGACTGGAAAGCATGCAAATTCGAGCCATGGTGATACTTTTTCACTGCATTTCTAGTCTAGCCATATAGGTGTATTTATATGCCAATTTATTTTGACAAAATATCAGGCAAGAGAATAGTAAAATGCCTTGAATAATTACTCTGGGGAACAGTGTATTCTTATGACATATCGTTGTTATGCACTTTAATCATTTTCATTGATTTTGCTTTGCGTAAAAACTCCTATAATCTTCTCTATAAGCAAACTTCTTTTATTCTGACTGCAAGCTATTCTGTTAATTGATTGATTTGATTGATTTCAATCACACCTTTCTAACCAGATAGCCCTTATTTCACTAGCTTACCTAAGCATTGGGATAGTAGGAAGAACTCCAGTTATTATACAACTATATTATAGCCCAGTGGTTCTCAACTTGTGGTCCATGGACCTCTGTGGATTCATGATGACATCACAGGGGGTCCATGAAGATTTGAAGAAATGTTATGATTCAAATCTTGAGTTAAGTCTTGGGGAGTCTGGGGCAGTGGTGGGCTGCTGCCTGTTTGGACCGGTAGTTCCAACGTGTGGGCCCACCCACCCGGCCTGGTGCTATCATGTCCTATATAATCGCCAATTTTTTGATGTTGCGTGCATGCGTGCACACGCTCACGTTTTCAGTTCTGGGCAAACTAGTTGTTACAATATGTGATGCCCACCTTTGGGCCATGGCCATGGCCCATGGCCACAAAATATATTAATAAGAGTTCCCTGGTGAAGAAAAGGTTGGGAACCAGTGTTGTAGCCATTTGTGAGAGCAAAGCCATTGAAATTAGGGGACTGGAGACTAAAACATATGAAAAACAGTTGCAGGAACTGGGTATGTCTAGTTTAATGAAAAGAAGGACTAGGGGAGACANCCACAACAACATATAAAATGTTTCTGCATCTTGAAAACTTACCAAAGACAATTTGAGCATAGATTTCTCCTATAAGTACTACTCCCCTATGCAGGTATGATCCCTTTGATTTTGAAACGTGCCACCTGTAACTTACAGCTTGAATTAGTACAGTCTTGGAAGAAAGGGAAATGTGCTGGTCTTGAACTGGTTCCTTGTCTACTTTAAATGTGGTCAAAAACTCCATTATATATACTTTTTTTCCATTTTCTCAACTGCAGAAATGTTTCAGTTCATCTCTAGGAGGCATTATGGCTTCCCCTTCAGTCTCACCTTTTATCTGAATGGAATTCAGGTTGACCGATTAAGTTCTTGCTGCGAATATAAGCATCGGAAAGGTACTCGGCTAGGAGGCAAACATGGATACTTTGGTTTCGTCAATGTCGAAAGATCATCTCCTTGTTATAGGTATGCTTTGATATTGACATTGATCAACACAAAGCCAGAACTTTTAACTGTTCTATGGAATGTCTGACTACCTCCCTGCACATATTTTGATTCCAAAATATTATTAACAACCTTTTCCATTAATTTTACAATTGCATGATTCTCCTTGGAAAATTTGGGAAGACTGTTATTTTAGGCCATAAATTACTTCAGATCTCTCTTGCCTAAGTTTCAAGACATATTTTGATTTTTTGTATAATTTTTTTGTAACACATAACATTCACCTAATCATTAATTTAGGTTATAAAATAGGTTTGATTAAATCTTTTCCAACTATCTAATTTTTATATCCACTTTCGCTTGAAAGCTGTAGAGAAAGACTCATATTTACTTAAGCCTATTTGTGTGTTCACAGAATATTTGAAGAGAAGATGGGGTATAGTAAGGCTGTTACCAAAAGATTGTCCTCACAATCTGTGGCCTCAAAGATTCGGGGTTTGATTGTAAAGTTAGAAAGAAACATATTTGCATATTCAGCTGAACATAATTAGAATCATCTACATGATTGTGGATCTAGTTCATTCAAGCTTTCCAGTGGTGTGGATAATTTTAGCTGCATTTATGAAGATCCCCCATTTTTTACACTTTGTTCCATAAGCGAAAGTCTGAAGATATTGATAATAAAGCCTCTACATGTTTGGTGGCAAATAACCAATCAGAATGCCAGTTATTTCAAAGAGACAGTGAACTATAGATTTCAGCTTGGTAAATTTAAGATATCTATTTATATGATGTAATGGCTTAGACTGACTTAAAGTAGTTTGTTCTTTTTAATCATAGTCCTTTTGTGATATATTTTGACATTCTATTTCTATCTAATTCTATCAGGGGTGTCAAACTCAATTCATGGCCCGCGGGGTGCTTAGTTTTGGCCCATGGGGCTGGCCAAAATAGCAAAGGAATGGCCCGCAGTGCTTCTGCCAGCAAAAACCGAGCTCCATTTTCCC